TGAGGGAGCATGGGTGACTCCATCCTTCTCCACGTGCATCTTTGTTTCACATCACTCTACTCTCCTTTTTGTTCGTTCTCTCATAATCCACAGGTCAACCGGGGGCATCTACCAACACTGCTTAGCCCAGCTTGCGGGCAATTCAAAGCCTAAAAGATGTCGCTTACTGTCACATAAATAACTAAGTCATTTAATTTCCTTCTTAACCCAGCCAGGAAAGTTGGGTTAGCTATGTGTTGAGCCAGTGTCTGACGATTGTCAGCACTTTGATATAATGTTAATTCTCTTGCACAAACCTGGGAGGATAGCATATTGCTAGGTAACCAAGTCTTCCTAGGCATTCTGTAGTTCACCTATGACTATCATCCAAGAACTAGGATGAATTGTGGCTCCAAGGTGAATACCTTTCTATAAGCCAAAACTTACAATTGCTTTATAAGATTTAAAGATAGATAAATAGGTAGTTAGATATTTTCGTAAGGTATTTTCATTCCTGCCTCTCCTCTGAAATAGAAGAGCCAGTCCACCCCTGTGAGTCTTAAAAGTGTCTACACTTAAAAAGATCTAAAAATATATATATATCTAACTCCCTCTCAAGACTAATATTAGGTGACCCTAGCCTAGGCTAGATTGCTATTGTTAGTAATTGGAAGTCACTGGATCCTTATGTTTACACTACATACAGCCAGTCATGTGGCTTCTCAGTATGTAGAGCTCAGGTTGAAATTATGCTCAGGGATGTTTGCTCAGCATTGCAATAGGCCAGAAAGCAGAGAAGGCTTAAGGCAACTTTTTTCCCCCATTATTTCACCAGAGCAGAAGGGAAATTTTATGATTATTGCTCACTATTAATAAACTCCCTCTGTACTACTAGGGACAAAGCTAACTTTAAAAAAAATGCATTTTCTGTTTAGAGCACAACTGTTAATATTTGGGGTGTCTGGCTTGTTACCTGGCTTTTGAGGTGCAAGAAGGAAAATGGGCACGTTGTTTTGTGAACTAGTATAATTGTCCTGGCACCTTCTAACAGGAGGATTGTGCTTTCATAGGGAATTTTTTTATCAGCATTGACTGAAATAATCCATTCCAGATCTGTGCTTTGCTGCTGTTGTCTTTCATTTTTCTCTTCCTTCAGATTAAGTGCCTCACTTTCTGCCTAACCAGTTTCCTGACTGGTTTTGTCTTCATTATGTTCTCATCTAAAAAAAAAAACAACTTAGAAGTCAATGAGAATTTAATGAATCCAAAATCTCCCAATCTTGTTTGTTCTTTTCCTATTTATAGCCACAGAGTCTGCATTCAGATTATTCCAGCATCTGGTTTATCCACCTTATAGGTGGTTCATTTCTTCTTCCTTTCCACTGCCTCTCTTTTGGCCATTTCACCCCTTGTAAAACAAGAAACAAACAAAAACGTGTTGGTTTTGTGGGTGAGCAAGTTGGGACTAATGACCATTTGAAGTTTTGGGGACATCCCTCAATTACCATTCCCTATAGAGAATTTGCAGCACTAAACCCCAGTCAGTACAAATATCTGCAAATAGGCTGTGCAAACAAAACCAGATTCTGGAAAGTGCTACTATACCTGCTTGAGATTTTGGGTAAGAATTGAGCACCTCTTAGCAATGATGATGGTCAGGTTGGGGAAAAGGTGAGATGTGTAGTGATTTATCATTTTACATACATCATCTTGCTTGCAGAAACCCAACATCTTTTGAGAAGAGTGCTTTTTGTCTTTTTCCCAAGAGAAACAAATGAAATGAACCATTCTATGAATCTGATAAAGTCAACTTTCATTTATTTACATTGGCATCATCCATGGTCAATTTAAAATTCTCCAGCCCATCTGAGTGACCTGCTGACCTTTTGTGAGAACTCAAATCTTGAAAATTAATTTTAATGTAGTGTAACTTCTGTAATGGTAATTGGGAACAAGACTAATAACTAATAACAGGCTCACCATGTTAAGATTTTTATTATGTACCTATTTTATAGATCTATATAGGTCTAATTGTCTGTATTTGGTGGTTGAATCCTCCTCACTTAGCTGTAACAAAACATTGGGAAGCAAAGTCTACGTTGTAAAAATAGTCTAGATTGTTTGACCTTTTGAATTATCTAAGTCACTGCCCTTAACTATCACTGGCAATTTATGGTTGACACCTTATATTTTAATTGTTCTTTTTTGCTAAAAATTTCTCCCATCCTCCCCTGAGAAACTTAATGTATTGATGCATAATGCATAAAAATGAACAAAGCATATGTGAACAGCCAAACTCCCTCATATTGATATATATTGATTTATTTTTAATCAATAAATTTCTTGTTCATGGGGTCTTAATTTTTTTTTTAATGAAGAGGCAGCCCTTAGTTCAAGCGTCTTTGTCTTTGTCCTCAATTTGGTGACACCATTGTGCTGTATTCATTTTAGGATCTGTTTGCTCCTTGCTGAATCCAGCCAAGGCTGAAGATAGAAACTTCTGTTTTTTCTAACAACTTTCTAGCTCTTCAGCTTCATTTGAGTCCTGAAGATTACCTCCATTGTCTTAAATTATCTAATTTCCTATTCCTAATGAGGTTTCCAATTTGAAGGCAGAAAGTGGAATTTCTGAGCTCACGAAATGCTTTTCTTACAATCAAGTGTATCAGCCCCTTTTGATGGATAAGGGAACTGAGGTTCAGAGAGGTTGTGACATGAAACAATGTAGTGGCAGAACTGGGATTTTAATTGAAGTCTGGGCTCCAGGCGCAGCACTCTTTCTGCTACTCCATACTTGCCCTCATGTGTCTGTAGTTATTGCTAATCTCTATTCTGTTGGTCACACGTTTTGTTACTAGACTTTGAGGTGACGTTCCTGCTTGCTTGGTTTTTAAACCACTAATGTTTTGGCCTGGCTACAACCTATTGCATGTTCTTAGTAACTATTAGATTGGAGCCCAATCCAGTTTAATATTGTGATACACAAAACAGAAAAAAAAGTATTCTCTTTCTTGATAATCTAAATTAACGAGCCACAAAAAAAGGCATTTTTGTGGGTTTTGATGAAATCCATTTGTTCACAGGATGAATTCTTATCTTGTTCATGTCCCTTTCAAATGACAGTGATACATTCAAAACTAAAATCATATGATCTCTTCTTGGCCACTCTGAAATAATTCCTTTGGCTGGATTAGGCTCGTTAGAACAAGTCTTGGTGTAATGTATGAACACTAAGGCCATAATCTGGATCCATGTTCATTCTCACCTTCGAAGAAGAGTCATTGTCATCCTTACACTCGTGCCTGGGAACTCTGTAAACTGGCACTGACTGTGAAACAGAGAGGGTTCCATGGGGCCATATCAACAATCTGCCTATTTCCTGATTCTTTCTGGAGCTGTCAGAATGGTTTCTGTCACTGGGATTGCCTTGGAATCAGGGTTAAGAAAGAAGGGAAAGATGATCCTCAGGTTTTCTTTGATCATTCTTGCCTGGTAAAAGGGGTAAAAACCCCTTTTTAGCAGTTTTATGTGTTAGCTAGGTATGCAGAAAATGGAGGAGCTGATGATGTGACTCAAAATCAGAATATGTGAAAAAGCATTGAGCAGTATGTGCTATACAGTACGTGGCCCACAACACCTTCCAGGAGACCCTTGTCAACTTAAGGGACAATCTTTCCACTTAGTACAAAGTCTTGGCTTTTTGAAGCCCAGGATGATCATCTAGAGAAAATGTAGTGATTAACTAGGCCAGAGGCCTTTAAATAACCTTCTTACCCATGATCATCTGTTTTCACTAAGTTCTGGTAAAGTTGGGTGTTAATACCTAATGCAGCTGTGGCCTAATCCATTGTTTGAGTACAGCACTTTAAAGTTCAAAACCTTTTGTGCCATTTGGTTTTTTAAACAGGAAAGATATTTACTTCTTCAGTGTTGAGAAGTTTTCTCCATCCCTAGTGGAATATATTTAGTTTCTAAGGGGTGTGTACATGCTTTCTCCAATATTCCCTTTCCTTTAGATGGAACATTGCTTGCTGTAAGACCATACCCTAAGGTTGCACTTTAATAAACAAACAATAAAATTCTTTTTTTTAAAGTGTGCACATTTTTTTCTTATTCTAATTACGTATTTTAATGGTTATTGATTCAGGAAATTAATCACTTGTACCATTTTGGTCATGTCAGTTTTCAGCACAGTTTTCAACTACAGAGTTTTCAGCACATGAAGGTTTTTAAATTAATTTAAAACAATTTTAATTAGAGTATGAACTCCAATCCATCTAGTACGTATGTCTTTTAAGGCTAGTATCTCCAGCTTTCTTATGTTGCTTTCTTAACCATAGTTTTCACACACATCGATAACCAATTTAAAATTTTATTTCCAATTATAAAAATTATCAACAAAACTGAAACATGATTAAGTTATATAAAGTCTTAACCACATCCTAGAAAATGAGATAGGTCATAATAAAATTTACTAAAAATTGTCTTCAAGTCATCAAATAAAATTTCAAGTATAAAGCAGAAATTTAGCAGTGCACCTTATTGATACTTTCTTTCCATTCTTTTCTGTTCTACTGGTGGTAAACAGTAGATATCTATAACTGCCAGCAGTGTCAAACTCAAATATAAATTGTGTCACAGAACTATATATTAGGATCCATATGGGCAGCATACTGACTTAGATGCTGATACCTATGTTCTATATATATATATTTTTTTTTAAAATTTAAATGTTTCCCAATTACATTTTAATCTAGTTTGGGCCCACACTGGGGAGTGCCCCAGTGTGGCCTCCCTGCATCTGACACTTGGGGACTAACTACCCTATGTCAAGAAATGAATGACACACCTTTGGCTCAAAGGCCAAAGTCATGAATACAGAACAGGTGACTTAGCATTGTAACAAAGAGCTCTTTTCAGAGGAACAGGAGAAGAGAATCCTTTCTGTTCTCCACTAAATCACCAAATTAAAAGTTCTGTTTGTTTTTTTAAATATCCAGGAAAACAAATAATCCAGCATCTTGTCTATATTCATCATGTCTTTATTCTTAAAACATAACATCTAAAAATATTTGCTCTTCCTATTCCATCAGACACTGGACTGCTTTCTCAAAAGCAGGTTTTAAATAGTCCAAATGTTTGGGTAAATGGCCTTTGCAAGGTACTCCATTCAGTCCATGTCCTAGAGAAAAAAGGACAAGAAAACAAAAGGGTTAGAATTAATCTAATGAAATAGTTCTTCCTTTGGGAATCCAGAATTAAAGCTGGAATGAGACCTTAGAGTAAGCTTAACCCCCTTATTCTACAACAGTTTACCCAAGATCACACAGCAGGTGGCCGAGCTGCAGTTTGGATCCAGGGTCTCTGACTATAAAATGAGCAAACACTCTTTCCTGTTACACCACACTGATTACTTAGTGTTTTAATGTATTGTAATTACTGGGGTGTAACTCCAGATGCCACTGATCATACGTAAGAGCAGCACAGTTAAAATAAAAAAAAATTAAAGGAGAAACCTCATATACATGGCTGCTACAGCCATGGCATCTCATGCCCCTGTAAATATAGCATATTCAACTTACCTTGTTCCTTAAAGATAACCAATCCATGTTACTGAGTGAGCCCCCTTTTAGGCTTCCTAGGCCTATAGCTATATGTGAGATGTGTGTAAAAACATCTTGGTCACCTTGATAACCATTCTCCATAACATCTCGCTCTGCAAGTTCTTAGGAAGGGTAAAAGTTTTAAAGCACTTTGACTTGAAGACTTGTATCTATTGAATAAGCTGCCCTTCAGCTTCTTCAGTGGTTCAGGCAGTAATCAAAAATCTCAGGACTCTACCATAATCCTTTCTCTATAGCGATCAGGCCCAGTTGACTCTTGACAGCTTGGATGCATGCTGCTAAAAGCAATTTTACAGGAACTTTGTCAGGGCCTACTTCTTAAAAACTCAATTTGATTTAATCTTTGAGTTCTTACGTTATTCGCTACACCTTTTCTCTACTGGCGATATGGTACTTTAAATCGATAGTATCATAGCAAATGAATGCAGTAGGTAGCCTGAAGCAGTTAGTTTTAGGGATCATTGATGAATATTAGGAAGTAGTGGGAAGTCAGCTTATTCATGTAGAAACTGTAAAAAAAAAACAAAACCAGGATGTCTCTTTAAAAAATAATTCAGATACAAACTGAATCTTTCATTCAGATGAAATGCTTAGGTAACATGTACTCACTTGTGACTTCAACATTGATTCATAACTTAGGAGACAGCCTAGAGTCCTAGTGACGAGTTAGAATGAGCGCCTTTAAATTTTTCAGGGACTTGAATATGGAAATGAGGTACTCTGGCACAGGGAAGATTTTAAATAGTACTTTGCATACTTTTCCCTTTGAATTTCTCCTGACTCCTTTGCTTTCAAATACATGGTTTTAAAATATGCTAACTTTTCATGAAGTGACAGAATAAAAACGAGTCCTACCCATTTTTATCTACACTCCACATGTATGGGCCTGTGAACCCATCACTTACCTACCAGAAGCATGACAAAACTCCCATCTTGTGTCTGCTAATAACTCAAAAAGTCATGACGAGAGGCCTTGTGTTCAAAACCATTTCCCATCTCTCCTTGCTGCATGAAAACAAACCTCTACAAATGCCTTATTTCCTGAGAATTAGGTTTAGCTGCATCAGTTTTCTTTTTGGGTAGGACACCAGAACCATTGGTAGCAAGGTGAGCATACTGTGCACAGGTAGTCCATGACTGGTTTGAGTAATCACTGTTCCCTTCTTGGCTTTGGAACTCCCAAAAAGGCTTGATTAGTGAGTACCAAACACCTAACCTATGTCAGACTGACCCAAACCCTCCTTCACATCCCATCCACCAGAGTCAGCCTGCAATCTGCACCTAACTCAACACACACACCTGCTTTGGACATAATAATCAAATCAACGTACTATTGCTTCTGGAAAGGTGATCAACTCTCCATTCCCTACAATTCCCAAGACCCAAACTCCTTTCCCTGGCTGCCCCTCTTCTGCATGTATTTTCTCCTGTTACAATGTAAGCTTAAAACAGTGCATTGAAAAAGATGTGTTCGGTGACTCCTCTTGCTATCCTCTTCTAAACCCTCTGCAACCTGGCTTCTATGCCTCAGTCAACTGAAACTACCCTCTCCCAAGTTACCAATGATCTTTTAATTATCAAATCTAATGGTCTTTTCTGAATTTTCTTCCTTTTTGACCTCTCTGCAGGACCTGATATTGTCGGTCACCTATTCCTAGATACTCTCTCCCCCTCTAGGTTTTCATGGCACTGCACTCTCTTGGTTCTCCTCCTCTATGTGAATGCTCCTTCTCAATCTCCACTGAGTCCATGTCATGCCTGTTAACACTTCCAGTTCCAGTCCCTCTTTCTTTTCTCTCTCAGTGGTGACCAAATCATCTCCTGTAAGTTAAATTATCAAATCCATGCAGTTGATTCTCAGATCTTTATAATCAAGTCATAGTCTTTGTCCAGTCCCACATCACCAGCTGCTTACTGGACACATCTCAAACTGGAGGTCCTGTGGGTATCTCAAATAACACATCCCCAAACTGTTCCCTCTTAACAACTCTCCTATCACTGCGAGAGCACTACCATCTTCTTACAGTCACACAGAAAAGAGAGTTGCTGTATCTTGTACTTTGTAACTCCTCAACATCTACACACATGCCCTTCTCTTCACTCAAACAACCACTACTCTAGGTGAAGCCCTCCTTACCTCTCACCTGAAATGTTATTAGACAGGTCTAATTGGTTTCCCTGCTTCAAGTCTCTCCTTACTCTAATCCATTCTCCACTCATCTGCCAAGGTGATTTTCCTAAAATGTAAGGCAGTCAGTAATTAAACTCTTAAGTGCCTACTATATGCCAGGCACTGGGCTAAACAGTAGGGGTATGAAAAGACAATCCCTAGTCTCAAGGTACTTACAATCTAATGGGGGAGACAACATGCAAACAAATCTATACAAAGCAAGCTATATACCGGATAAAAAGGAAATAATTAACAGAGGGAAGGCACTGGAATTAAGACCTAGTAGAAAGTGGAATTTTAGTTGAGACTTAAGCCAGGGAGATCCACAGTCAGAGCAGAGGAGGGAGAGCATTCTAGGCATGGGGGAATAGCCACAGAAAATGCCCAGAGCTGAAAGATGTAGTGTTTTGTTCATGGAACAGCCAGGAGACCAGTGTCACTGACCTAAGAGTATGCGGTAGGGAGTAAGGTGTAAGAAGACTATAAAGGTAGGAAGGAGCTAGGTTATGAAGGGCTTTGAATGCCAAACAGCATTTTGTATTTGCTTCTGGAGGTAATAGGGAGCCATTGGAGTTTACTGAGTGGGGTGGGGAGAACGGGGTTGGGGGTAGGGGGTACGCAACATGATCAGACCTGTGCTTTAGGAAAATCACTTTAGTGGCTGAATGGAGGATAAATTGGAGCAGGGAAAAAACTGAGGCAGGCAGATCCACCAGCAGGCTATTACAGTAATCCAGAAGGCTTATGTTAGAGTGGGGGCAGTATTAGAGGAATGAAGGGTGCATATTCTAGAAATGTTGTGAAATCAACATGCCTTGGCAACAGTTTGGACGTGGGGGGTGAGAAATAGGGAGGAGTCCAGGATGACTCCTAGATTTTGAGCCTAAGGGACTGGGAAGATGGTGTTGCCCTCTATAGTAATAGAGATGCTAGGAGAAGGGAGGGTTTAGGGGGAAAGATAATGAATCTGTTTTGGACATGGTGAGTCATATAGGTCTGACTGAGTCACTCCTTTTACTCAATAAACTCCAGTTGGCCCCCTCTTACCTCCGGGATCAAATATAAAGTCCTATATTTGGCATTTAAAACCCTTCACAACTGGACACCTTCCAACCTTTCCAAGATCCAGCTATACTGGACTATTTGCTGTTCCTTGAACATGACACACCATCTTCTGGTTCTCTTGTTTTTGCAATGGTTGTCTTCCACGCTCTTCCTCACTTCCATTTCTTGGAATCCCTGGCTTCTTTAAGAATTTAACTCAAATTCCTTCTGTAAGTGAGCTTTCCTGGGACCCTTCAGCTGCTAGAACCTTCCCCTCAAAATTACCTGCCATATTCTCTGTATTTGTCTTGCCTGTATCTAGTTAACATGTTATTTCTCCCATTATAATGTCCTCTTTGAGGATAGGAACAGTTTTTGCTTTTCTTTGTACCCCGACACTTAACACAGTGCTTGGCAAATAGTGAGATTTTAATAAAAGCTTGTCATCTGACTGCCACATGCTAAATACTTAATAAATCCATTTTCATTCATCCATTCTATCATTTGTTCATTCATTCCTCTAAACCAACTGAAGCTAGGCTGTCATAATCGGCTCAGATTTGTCCTGTCATTTGGTTCTGTAATTCTTAGAAGATTTATGAAAACAGGTACATAGAAAAGTAAACTTGAGATGACCCCCAGCAATGTAAGACAGGTGTCATCCTTGGAACTTACATGTCTAGTTAAGTTCCTTGTGTAGGTAAGGAGGTTCTGGTTAATGTAATCTACAGTGATGTAAAAGATGCTTCGGAACAAGGATGGGGCATGGGTCATAACTTTTTTAGCCAACAGCATTGTTAGCAATAGTTTAGCCTTCTCTTGCCCAAGGTCCTGAGAAATTGTCTGCATCTGCATCACTTTGTCCACAGTAGCAGCCAGTTGTCTTCTCTTTTCCTATGGGAGAGAGGAGAAAAAAGGTAGAAAAAAGTTCAGAGCTTTTTTAACCAACATTTTTTCCTCCAGAAGGCACAAAGAAAGCATTCTACATAGGTATCTAACAAGCAAAAATAAGTGCACGTCAATCATAGCAAGGTTAGATAGCAAGGACTATTAAACCTTGTGAGAAACTGGAAAAGAAGCTCAAATAAAAACCCAAAACAACTGCAAAGCAGTTTCACAGAAATTAGCCTTTGATCAACATCTTAGGGCGGCCATATATTAAAATAAATTCCAAATAGATAAGTGACCTTAATGTAGAAGTCACATAAGAATCTAAACCCACCACCAAACATTTATTTGTTCATTCTAAATTCAATTTTGTTTTCAATTCTGAATTTCATCCTTCCTTTCTCTCCCACCCTACCCACTGAGAAGTCAAGAAAAGCAAAATCCATTACAGATGAGTATAGTCATGCAAAACAATTTTCTGCATTAGCCATGTCCAAAAAAGAAAAAAAAAAATGCTTCAAACTGTCCATGAACTCTCTATCTGGAGGTTGTTTAAAAAAAAAAAAATTAAAGGAGAATGAAGGGGGCACTTTTCAGATCCATGGCTAGGGGAAAAATTAATCAAGGTATAGCAATGATCATAACAGATAAGACAATTTTGAGTACATAAAACTAAAAAGCTTTTGCATAAACAAAATCAATTATCTAGAAAGAGAAGAGAAACTGTCAAACTGGGAAATCATCGTATCATAATCTCCAAGATAGAGAATTGAGACAAATACTTAAGATAAAAAAAAAATCATTTCCCAGTAGACAGGTCAGCTAATGGTATGAAGTTTTTTTTTTTAAATTATATCCTTGGTTTTGATATCAATTTCATTTCCAAATATTATCCTTCCCCTCTGACTTACCCATCCAATCCTTCCTTGTAACAAAGAGTAAAAAGAAAGAGAAAGCAATTTTAGCACATCAACTAAGTCTAACAGTGCATACAATATTCCACACTCATCATCTCCCACTTCTGCAAAGAAGAGAGAGAAGTGTATTTTCTCAACTCTATTCCAGGGCCAAGCTTCATCATAAGAACAAAGAGTTGAGCTTAATTTTTTTAATGGGTAGTTAAAGGCTGAAATGTGAACTATCAACAATGCTCCAAAGAATAACAAAATGCGAACTGAGGTTTTACCTTATACTCAGATTGGCAAAGATGACGAAAGACAAAAATGGTAAATGTTGGAGATGTGGGAAGGCATGTCCACCTTAATGTACACTGGTTAAGCTAAGCCTTGATCTAATGCTTCTAGAAAACAATTTGGAACTATCCTAAAAATTCACTAAGCTATACTTCATGATACTAATATTCAGCCTGTACCGAAAGTCTGAGAGAGACTGGTCCTGTGTATATAAAAATATTTATAGCAGCACATTTAAAAATAAAAATTTGTTGGTATCTCTTTTTAAACAATCTTAAATCACCTATACCTCCCCCTTCCATATAGCAGAGATTCTTAATGTGATGACTATGAACTTACTTTTTTCTTTTATTTAGGATTTTATTTTTCTCCAGTTCACGTAAACACAATTTTTAACATTCGTTCTTAAAACTCTGAGTTCCAATTTCTCTCCCTTCCTCCCTCCCCACCCTATCCCCCCCCCCATTGAGAAGACAAGCAATTTGATACAGGTTATATATATGAAGTCATGTGAAACATTTCCATAATAGTCATGTGAAAGAAACATAGACCTCCTCCCTCAAAAACAAACACCTCAAGATAAACAAAGCAAGTAAAAAACTTATGCTTTGATCTGTATTCAGATACTATCAATTCTTTCTCTGGGGATGGATAACATTTTTCATCTTGGGTCCTTCAGAGTTGTCTTAGATCACTGTATTAGTGAAAATAGCTAAGTATGAGCTTATTTTTAAAAAATATTTTGATAACTGCATTTCAACATAAGTGGTTTCCTTTATGTGATTTATTTATTATTTTGAAAAGGGCTTCACCAGACTGCCAAAGGAATCTATGTCAAAAAAGGTTAAAAACTTCTACTTAAAAAAGAATAAAAGAGGAGGGAAAAATTAAGCAAAACTAACTTACATATTCAGGCCAAACTCTCATGGTCTGAACTCATTCCTTAATAATTAACATATAACCCTGTCATCCTATCATGCCCTATCCCAGTGATTATGAACCCCACAAATACCTGAAAGTCTTTCAATTCATTAAATGTCTTCTGTTTTTTTTTAAATTTTGTCATTCAGCTTTGCTGGGTAAGTTATTCTTGGTTGCAACCCCAGCTCCTTTGCTCTTCTAAATATAATGTTCCAAGCCCTTCTGTCTTTTATTTATTTTTTTCTTTTTTAGGCAATTGGGGTTAATTGACTTGCCCAGGGTCACACAGCTAGTAAGTGTCTAATGTCTGGTCTGAGGCCAAGTTTGAACTCAGGTCCTCCTGACTTCAGGGTCGGTGCTCAATCCACTGCCCCACTAGCTGCACCCCCCTTCTGTCTTTTAATGTAAAAGCTGCTACATCTTGTGTTATCCTGGCTGGAGCTCCACAGTATTTAAATTGTTTTCTTTTTCTTGTTGCTTGTAGTATTTTCTCCTTAACCTGGGAGCTTCAAAACTTGGCTCTGATGTTTCTGTGAATTTTTATCTTGGGATCTCTTTCAGGTGGTGATTGATAGATTTTTCCTATTTCTATTTTACCCTCTCATCCTAGAACTTCAGAGCAATTTTCCTTAATGATTTCTTGTAATATAGTATTTAGACTCTTATTTTTATCATAACTTTCAGGTAGTCCAACAATTCTTACATTGTCTCTTCTCAATCTGTTCTCTGGATTAGCTGGGGTTTTTTTTTTTTTGGTTTGTTTGTTTGTTTTTAATGAGATATTTCACATTCTCTTCTATTTTTTCATTCCTGTGATTTTGTTTTATTATTTCTTGGTATCTTATGACATCATTAGCTTCCTCTTGCCCAATTCTACTTTTTAAGGAGTTATTTTCTTCCTTAAGCTTTTGAATCTCTTTTTCCAATTGGTGGACTCTTTGTAATTTTCTTGATTTTCTTAGATTGCTCTTTTTCCCCTCCTAATTCTTCCTCAGTTTCTCTTATCTGATTTTTAAATTTCTTTTAAAGTTCTTCCAAGAACTCTTTTTGGACTTGTGACTATTTGACATTTTTCTTTGAAGTAGGAATGGCTTTTTTAACTTTACTATCTCCTTCTGAGTATGAACCCAGATCTTCTCTAGCCTCATTGTAGCTATCTATCATTGGGTTAATTCTCCTTTACTTAGTTAGTTATTATGGCTTATTATTATATTATCATCACATTATATTATCATCATTATTATTATTACAGTCAGGATTTAGTCCCACAGTATGAGGGGCAAAACTTCAAGCTTTTCCTACTGTTGTTATCTAAGTACTGTCTGGGGGCCTGACCTCCAGCATTCCTTTCCACCTCTGAGCTACAGCCAGGGCCTCCAACCAGAGACCCCAGCCACCTGTCACCATAAATACTTCTGCTCCCTGTGGTCCCTCCTGCAGCTACAAATGTCAGCTGAACCCTGTGCCTTGGAATTGAAACCAGGAACTCCATTCTCCTACAATTAGCCGTAACTAGCGGCCCAGGACCATGTCTGGTCAGCACAGTTGGGCCTGATACCCAGCAACAGCAGAGGGTCCTTTCATCTTTGCCAACTCAGCTGCTGCCCCCCAACCTTGTCTGTGAAATGGAAGTTCCTGAGGCTGAAGCTGCCTCCCTGACCCAGCTGCCCTCCAACAAATCACAAGCCAAGTGATTTGTTAACTGGGGGAGTTGCCTGGAGGTGTCTGCACTTCAGTCGGGCCAAACCTCCAACCCTGGAGGTCTGGTCTTTCTTGAGGTCCTCTCAAGTTGTCTTAGAAGGACAAGTGCTTTACCCCAATTTTTATTTATTTCTGTCCCTCTAAGTTCACTTTGAGGTGATGTTTTGTCTTGTATGTGGAAGAAATTTGGAGAGCCTGATATTTCTGATGTACTCTGCCATCTTCCCAGAACCTGGTCTCCCAGTACCTTCTTTTGACTATGGTGACCCACCTCACAGTTCAAGGTACTAGTGATATGCAAATTTCTGCCTCTAGAAATGAAGCAGGAGGATGGATCAAGCTAGTATTACTCTTGTTATTGTGATTATTATCACTTACTGTTACTGTAAGTGCAACCTCCATTTTGGAAGGCTCCTAAGTACAAGGAACTTTAAAAATTATGTACGGTTTGTTTCAATCCTTTTTACTTACATGAAAAGAGTAAACAGTTTTCTTTAAAACATAACCACCTGTTAAAAGTGCAATAGATTTTAGTCTTCCTCACTTCTGCAAAAGGTTTTTGTCTCCACTCCCTACCCCCTCTACCCCACTCAAAGTTAAGAGGAGTTCCTCTGAGAAGGTGGTTCTAAGGATATTTATTTCTATCCAAGCTTAGCAGCCTGCCATCCTGAGATCTCAGAGCACAGGCTTAGAGCTGAAAAGATCAATGAATGGATGGAACCACAGCTCAGGGATAAGGGATGAGAGTAATTGACAACAGAGAAAAGGCACAGCTGTTTGGTTCTCATCTGCATGTTTTCTCAGTCCGCTTGGAGTCAAGAAGACCTGAATTCAAATCCAGCCTCAGATACTTACTAGCTATGTGACCCTGCACAAGTCACTTAACCATTCTCTGCCTCAGTTTCCTCATTTATAAAATGGGGATAATAACAGCACCTACCTCCTAGAGTGGTTTTGAGAATCACAACTGAGATTATATATGTATAACACTATAATAAAAGTAACCAAGAAGAGTAAAAGATCACTTAGCTGCTTTTGATGAGTTCACGTCACCAGAAAACCTGCATCTCTGCTATGCAGAAGAACTGGAAGATGTGATAACTGAGATGCTATCACGTGATCTCTGAAAGACCACAGAGAATAGGAGAGGCACAGCAACACTTAAAAAAGGCAAATGTTTGGATTTTCCAAAGAGGGAAAAGGTGAATTCTGTGAACTGTATAGACCAGTAAATTTTACTTCAATTTCTGGCAAAATTCTAGAACCTATTATCACTATGGGAATGGTTAATAAAAAAACTAAACAAGGGAGAAACGATCACAAAGAGCCAGCATGGCTAAATCAGGAAAAGGCAACGCTGGGCTAGTCTCAGTTTCCTTTTTGGCAGGGTTACTAGATTGCTCCGTCAGGGTATTACAAAAAGGCACCAAAGTCCCATGCTTTTCTTGTAGAAAAATGAGAAGATGGCCACTAGATGGCAATACAGAGAGGTGGATTCAGAGCTGGTTGACTAGCCAGCTCTAAAGAGTAGTCATCAATTGGGACAGCTAGGTGGTGTAGTGGATAGAGTGTCAGCCCTGGAGTCAGGAGGACCTGAGTTCAAGTCTGGCCTCAGACATATAACACTCACAAGCTGTGTGACTCTGGGCCAGTCATTTAACCCCAATTGCCTCATATAAAAAAAAAACAAAAAAAACCCCAAAAGAGTAGTCATCAATAACATGAGATCAGCATAGAGAAATGTCTCTAGTGGAGCGCTCCAAGGATTCTTCCTTGGCCATGTGCTGTTTAATATTTTTCAACAATAACTTGGAAGAGGGAGTAGATGGTATACCTATCAAATTTGCAGATAACAAAGCTAGGATAAGGTAACTAAATATTGGATGACAGAGTCAGGATCCAAAAAGATCTCCAAATCCTGGAATACTGGTTCAAATCTAATAAGATGAAATTTAAGAAAGATAAATGTAAAAGCTTATGCTTGGGCTCAGTAAGTCATTGTCAAGATACAAAATGGGGAAAGAGGGTGTGCTTAGATAGCAGTTCATTTACAAAATATCTCCAAGTTTTAGTGTTTTGATAGCTCAATATGAGCCAACAGTTTGATATAGCAAACAAAAACATTAATGGCTGTATTTAGGCTTCATTGAGTGCCACTGTGCTCAGTGGTCAAATAAGATAATATTTGTAAAATGCTTAGCTTAGTGCCTGGCACATAGAAAAACACTATATAAATGTGAGCTGTTTTTATCATTGTTATTACTCTTACCATTACCCAGGACTGGAGAAGTAACAGTTTTGCTATGCTTTGCCTGGGTAAGACTACTTTGGAGACTATGTATTGGGAAAGATAGTGATAAACGGGGAACCATCCTCCCTCCCACAAAAAAGGCAACCAGGATGGGGAGGGGTCATGGGATCCCAAAGCTCCATGAGGATAAGCTGAAGGAATATTCCATCTTTCCCATATCTTTCAGTCCTAAGTATTACAGGCTGGAACTTCTTCTGAACCCAACAGCAGAATGTGGGCAGACCAGGCTGGGACTAAGCAAATCCTCATAAAGCAACCTTGATTTCTTAGAACTAATCATGATGAACAGACAATATTTTCACTGATGAGCACAAAGGTTTTTATTCCCTTACCTCAGTTGGCAGATTCCCACTCTTGAGCCAATGGATCACGTCATTCACCACATTGGGCTGGATGCTATTTTCCATCTCGTCCCCAATCTGAGCAAGCTTTATTGCTATGTTCCGGATAATCTCCTCTTGGCTTTCTGAATCTGATTTCACAAACAGCCAAATAGGAAAGAGCCAAATTAGAGAGATTAGACAGGCTTTATTTGCCTGTCACCCACAGAAAGCTTTCCCTATTTGTAACAGACCAGACTCCCCATTTCAGCTCTTATTTATACAATGTACTGAACCACTACACAAAGGATAAAGGGAGGTTACTGGGGGGTGGGGGTGGGTTGGTAGAGAGTTAATTAACAATATAGGAGACCAAGGGAAGAGTACTAGGTCTAGTGAAATAACCTGAATGTGAGGAAAGTTCAAGAGAAGAAAGTGACCAGTAAGGTGAACCTCTCCCTGAATTTGGGCAACATTAGATGGTTAACGTCTTCATGTGGGGAAAGTAGAAGAGGAGATCTGAGCATTCTGAATGCCTGGGGCTAGGTGGCATATAGACTTCTTATTCTGAGTACTTATGCAGGCTAAATACAGCTACTAGTGTAGCTGCTGTTGATTGTATATGTATTTTTCTTTCCCATAGAGACTATTCCACCCCCATCACCCTTTTCTTTGCATGTCCCCTTCACACGACAGGTACTTCACAAGCATTTCTGGCTCTCCTCCGAGTGAGAGGAGTTTCCTATATGGCCAACCAGATCACAACACAGGATTGGCAAAGACAGGCAACATTAACTACACCAAGTACTTTCCAACTACTCTCTGGGCCAAGTTTGACTTTAGAAATCAGAATTGTGGTGGAGGTGAGTGCCTCGCTTAGTGTGCAGCAAAGGATGAAGAAGAGAAAAGACTCAAGAATCCTGAATGGGGAGCAGACCTAGCTAATGAGGAAGGAGAATCCTGAAAGAAGAATCCTGAAAGGAGAACAGTGGTGTTTTCCTATTTTTAAACAGTAAGTGAAACCCAATGCCCAAGCCCTTTTTGAATAGAAGAGCCAGGGTTTCCTGGTCCCTGATGCTTTGAGACCAACTATCTCGCTTTAGAGAAGCAGGTAGAAGAGAGTCGTTGATTATGTCCTGGCTCTTTCCAACATGAAATGCCAATAAGCTTCAGGATATGAGACCTCCTAATATACACTAGAGAAGTACAGCCTCACACTCTGAATTAGAGTGAAGTTAGGGACCCAGCTGTTTTAGAGCCCCTGTGTTCATACAGGGACAGGTTAGGGAAGGGAGAGCCATTCATCTAATCCAGAGACACCCAGCTGACACAGCTCATAATGCTAATGTGCTTTGCTCACAATAACACTATGAAACAGACAGTGGAGGAATTATTATTCCAACTTTTTACAGATGAGCACCCTGAAGTGCACAAAATTTAACTGACCTAACCAATTTATTCAGTCTCATGTCTAGCAAGTAACGTGATCTTTCCTAGAACTAGAATTCTCCCATGATCTTCTGACACTAGTCAGCTGTCCTAGTCACTATACCATGCTGACATAAAACCCATGGACCAAGGCAGCTTTTAGGACCAGATGGGACATCCTGAGAGTGTTCTGGAGCATCTGGCCTCACTCACGTGATGGCCTGAGCCATAGGGCTGATGACTAGATCTCCTCCCTGGCCCACTGTGTGTTCAGCTGGTGGGGTGCTGTGCTTTGCAATGTCAAATATATGATTATTTATCAAAAGGGATAAATAATCCATTCCTGAGAACATTCTGAGGATGGGGTGAATATGAGCCAGGCTCCATACAATTTTAAGACCTACAGACAAAACTGTGAATGTAACGTTGGAAATGGAAAAAAAATTATAATCGACAAGAAGCCTCATCTCTCCAAGAATCTAGTCCATTTCAGCATCTTGTCTCTGGTCACAGGGCTTGTGGGAATGGGAAGCTCAGAAGTATCAAAGACAAAAGCTTGGGAAGTGAACCCTCAGGGTAAGAGGAGAATACTGATTTTTTTTTTGAAGGGGGGGGGAGGCAATTGTGGTTAGGTGACTTGCCCAGGGTCACACAGTCAGTAAGTATCTGAGGCAGGATTTCAACTCCAGTCTTCCTGACTCCAGGGCTAGTTGCTCTGTCCACTGTGCCACCTAGCTACCTCTTTGTTTGTTTGTTTTTTAAATTTTTTTTTCTTTTTTAAAGTAGAAAAAACTTGGGAACCATTGGCTTTTGTTGTTGTTCAGTCATTTTTCAGTCATGTCCAACTCTTTGTGACCCCGTTTGGGGTTTTCTTGGCAAAGATACTGGAATGATTTGCCATTTCCTTCTCCGGCTCATTTTACAGATGAGAAAACTGAGGCAAACAAGGTTAAGTGACTTGCCCAGGGTCACACAGATAGTAAGTATCTGAGGCTGGATTTGAACTCAGGTCTTCCTGACTCCAGGCCAGGTGCTCTATCCACTGCACCATCTAGCTGCCTCACTTATTAGCTATAACTATGTAATTATTCCATAAGTATTTGGTAAGTACCTACTGTGCCATGCACTGTGCTAGAAACAGAAATACAAAGCATGAAACAAGTTCTACTCTCAAACAGCTTATGTACAATCCTATGCAAGTCTGCTAGCCAACCTCTGATTCTTTCCTCATCTGCAAAAAAAGAATAATATTTGTCATCTTTTTCAATCAGAGTTCTTGTGGGATCAAAGGAGACAATGTATGTGAAAGTGTCATACACATGTGAGGCAGTGGTTTTGTAAAACACACAACCAGGAACTCTCCACTGCTCTCTGACTAGCCTGGAAAAAGGAGACAGGATCAGAGGCCTACCTAACTCCTCTGCTCTGGGCATCTCAAAAAAGCACCGATTGCCATCTGTCTGCAGTTCATAGTCATCCTCCAAACGACCGCCCTGGGAGACTTTCCTGGTCAGCTCGCTGCCCAGCTCCTTCAGCTCCGTCTGGAAAACGTCGTTACTGGAACACTGCAGGAAGTTGTACAGCAGCAAGCTGGTCTGTCGATTGTCCTTGGAGCAACAGAGAAACCAATTAGCAACTGGTCTGGTCCTGGAACACCCTTTAGGTACTAAGTTACCATTGCTTAACAGAAGAGGAGAAAATGCTGCATGATTAACTTTTAAAAGCATATGTTCAGGGCAGCTAGGTGGTGCAGTGGATAGAGCACTAGCCCTGAAGTCAGGAGGACCTGAGTTCAAATGCGGCCTCAGCCCAAACACTTGACACTTACTAGCTGTGTGAACCTGGGCAAGTCACTTAACCCCAACTGCCTTAAAAAAAAAAAAAAGCATTTGCTCGTTTGGCCAAAAGGTCTCAACTGCTCTTTCGGTATCAGTTTTAAACGAAAGTACACTAAGAGTTTGGGGACAAACTGTAAAAATCTTAGCCAGGATGGCTTGGGTGTGGGTGAGCTCGCTCAATACATACAACAAAAAGACTTGGGTGTCAAAGGGTTTTTAGGTCTCAGTTTGTACAACCTCTAGACAGCAGAGCCTGCTACATTACTGCTGCCTAAGTAAATTTTGTGGACTCATCTCCTTAATTCCCAGCACCTCCTCATACCCTACCAAGGCAAAATATCAACAATATACCTTCCCCCTCCTTCTAACTTACCTAGCTCTGTTAATGGAACCAGGGTCACAGAAGTTTTTAATCTCAGAGTCATCTTTGATCTTTCCTTCTCCTGCAGCTTGCACATCAAATCAGCTGCCAAGTCCGCAATATCTCTCATATGTGTTCCCTTTTTCACACTCATTCTTCAACTATCTTAGTTCACTCCTTCATTCTTGTTGCAGAGACTAGTGGTCTCCAAATTTTCTGACCATGCCCCTCATCAATAAAAAATTGTTGAACAGGTACCCATAATACATGTATATTTGCTTATTTATAAATTAAATACATGTACTAGTATATTAATAATTGTGTAAATTACAAAGCTCATACAAAAATGCAAAAATTTTAAAGGATTAGATAAAAATAAAATAATATTTGATCCTAGAATCAATAGGGAACCATTGCAGTTTTTTTGAGGAGGGAAGTGATGAAACCTATACTTCCAGAAAATCACTTTGGCAAGCTGAATGGAAGGTGGATTGGAGCGGGGAAGAGACAAGTCATGTAGGGCAATAAGGAGGCTATTGCAATAGTCTAGGCAAGAAGGTGATGAGGGCAGAGAGAACTGATTGTGTGAGTATAGAGAAGGTGACATATATGAGAAATGTAAAAATAAAAGGATAATATGGTGAATGAGAAGGATGATAGCACCTTCGATAGCAATAGGGAAGTTGAGAAGGGAGAGGGGGAGAGAGACAAGTTCTGATGGAGACATGATGAGTTTGAGATGCTTGTGAAATCCAGTTTTAGATGTCCAAAATACACTTGGTGATACAGGACTAGGCTCAGGAGAGAAACTTGGGCTAGATAAACAGATCTGGGAATTGTTTGTACAGAGATGATAATTGAACTAATGGGTGCTGATGAGATCATCACATCAAATGAGATAGTATAGAGAGAAGAGGGTCCCGCATGGAGCCACAGAGAACATGCACAAAGACATCATGTGGATGATAATGGAACAAAGGAATTAAGTGGTCAGACAGGAAAACCAAAAGAGCAATAATGTCAAAAAAAATGTCACAATAACACAGAGTACAGAGAATCCAGAAGGTGATCAACATTTTCAATTGCTATAGAAAGGTCAAGAAAAATGAAGATTGAGAAAAGGGCATCAGATGTAATTAAAAGATGATTGAAAATTTTGAAGAAAACCATTTTAAATGATTAAGGTATCAAGAATAAGGAGGAGGTCAAGTACCTATGAAACTATGATCATGGAAACAGGTGAGTTCAGAAAAGGGTTAGTTTTTTTTTTTTTTGTAAAGATAATGTAATCACAACCCTTATTCACTCTTTCCCACTGAATAATGAAAAGTGTGTTAGAGGCCACCCCAGAGAACACCAAGCCTGTTTGCTGTGGTTATCTAGAGGTCAGGATGTGAGGTCACTGAAGGGGAGAAGTGAGGGTAGTGGAAATTGGCCTGTGTAGCTTTTAACGAAGCCCGAACCAGGTTAAGTTGGGAAGGGGAAGAGTTTGAGGAGTGTTGAAAGGTATAATATTGAGTTGGAAACTGGGTAGGGAGGTGGAAAGGAGTATGACCTGTCTTCTCACCTACTGATTGATCACCCATCCCTTTGGGTCAAGCCCCTGCTGCAAAGTGGTCTAGATTATTGTAATGGCCCCCTAACAGATCTTCCTGCCTTCACTCTGATCACTTTTCCAGTTCATCCTTCATGCCTGAGTAACAGTACTCTAATAATATTACTTTTCTACCCCAAAACCCTGTGGTTCCCCATTTACCAGTATCAATCAATCAACTATTAAGTATTTATTAAGTGCTTACTATGTTCCAGGCACCATGCTAAGTGATGGGGATACAAAGGCAAGAGAGGCAATATGCAAAAAAGGGCAAGAAACAAGCATTTTTATGTAGCGCCTACCATGTGCCAGTCACTGTGCAAAAACAGTAATGACCACATTCCTTCTCTTTCACTACTTCCTCCTTCTTTATAAAGAAGAGGCAGGGGCATAAAAAGAGGATGAAAGAGAATACGATGGAAGGAAATTATAACAATATACTGTTATACAATTAACAATTATAATTGTGACTGATTTCCTTCCTAATACTAAATGCATTGTGTTTGTTCAAAAACTTTATAATTTTATGTAATCAAAAGCATTTGTGGTATATCTTATGATTACGTTTATGCCTTCTTTGCTCAAGAACTCATTCGGCCCCTTCTAATTGCTCAAGTGTATTTTTATTTCTATGTTTTTGTATCTCCTTGCGGGTGGGGAAGAGGGAACATTTCAACAATCTTGCCTATCTCTGGCTGGACAGGCTGGTTCTGCTTTTTTGTCTCTTGCGCTACTTCTCTGTTATGTTCTGGTCTACATCTTGCCTCTGACCCAATCCTTGGCTTTTGAGTGCTAACTCTGACGTGCTCACTGACCTTTTCTCCTTTCACAACAATGGGAGTTGACTCATCTCCGAAAGACCCTACTGGATGTCAGAGAAAGTACTGGTCTACTTCTCCTTGACTCTACCCCTTCCTAGGCACTATGCATTTCCTATTTTGGGTAGTCATCCAGTAGGAGCTGGCCTCGTCCCCTAACGTAGCTCTGAGAGGAGCACTGGGTACACCTCTTGGACAGCACAGAGGCATGTGGGCCCTTCTAGGCGCTGTCTTCCCTCTCAGTGATGAGGGTAGAATGGCCCTGTCCCTTGCTAAAGCTCCACCAGGCCAGGGCTTCAATAGCTTCAGGCCCCTTTTACTTGTCCGGCTTTTGGCTCCCCCTAGTGTCATCCCCACTTAGGAGACCTGCAGGCCTCTAGTCCTATTCTTATCCAGTCCTCCTCGGAGTAGTGTTTCCCTTTGATCTTAGTTATCATTGCTTCGCCTGGTGCTATCTCTGCAACTTTCGTGCCCTATTCTTTACATTTTAATTCTTTACTACTGTGTCCCTTGAAGATAATGAGATACTTAAAAGACATTTGTTTCCACTATTAGATCTTTTTTAAAAATTAAACTTTATTTTTTAATGAACAAAAATCTATTTTTATCTCTCCCACCTTCCTTTCCCCATGTAAAAGAAAAACAAAATCTTTATAATAAATATGCATAGTTAAGCAAAACCATTGTCACTGGACTGAAGAATATGGGGAGGGGGGTTTAAGGTATAAGAAAACTAGAAAGTGTTTGTGTGGGGGGGCCAGGTTATAAAAGACTTCGAAGATTTTGAATTTAACCCTCGAGGTAATAGTAAGCTATTGAAGTTTATTGAGGAGGGGGGTAACATGGTAGGAACTGCGTCTTAGGAAAATAACTTTGGCATCTTGAGTGGAGGAAGTGCTAGAGTGGAGAGTCTTCTGGTAAGAAAACCAACCGGCAGGCCATAGTGAAAGTCCAGGTATATGGAGATGAGGGCCTGTAACTAGGCTGAAGGCAGTGCCAGAGAAGAGATGTTTGACAGGCCTTGAAAATAGATTGGATATAGGGGGTGGAGAGATAGTAAGGAACTGAGAGCCTGGGGACTGGAAAGATGGAAATGATAAGGAATTTTGGAAGTGGAGACTTTTAGGGGGGAAAGATAATGAGTTTAGTTTTGGACACTTTGAGTCCAAGTTAGGTGGTACAGTGGATAGAGTGCTGGGCCTGGAGTCAGAAAGACCTGAGTTCAAATGTGGCCTCAGACACTTACTAGCTCTGTGACCCTGGGCAAGTCACTTAACCTATGTTTGCCTTGGTTTTCTCATCTGTAAAATGGGGTCATAATAGCATCTACCTCCCAAGGTTGTTGGGAGGATCAAAGGAGATAATAATTTTAAAGTGTTTAGCACAGTGCCTGGCACATAGTAAGCACTACATAAATATTAACTACTATTGTTATTACAGGATATTCAGTCTGATATATCTACTAAACAAATGGAGATGTGAAACTGGAGGTCATCAAAGAGGTTAGGGCTAGATAAGCAGATATGGGAATCATCAACATAGAGATGACAACTGAATTCAACGGGAGCCGATGTGATCACCAAGTAAAACAGTTAGGACAGAGAAGAGAAAAGGGCCCAGGACAGTCCTGAGGGACACCTACAGTAAGCTGGCTTGATCTGGATGAAGATACAATAAAGGAGACTGGGAAAGAGCAGTCAGATAAGTAGGAAGAGGACCAGGAGACAGTAGTTTCCCCAAAACCTAGAGAGAAGATGGTGATCAACCTTTGTCGAAGGCTGCAGGGAGGTCAGGACGGATGAGGACTGAGAACAGGTTATTGGGTTTGGCAATTGAGATGGGCACCTTTGGAGAGAGCAGGATAGGAATCAAACTGTACAGAGTTAAGAAGTGAGTGAGAGGAGAGGAAGTCGAGACTCATATTGTGACCAGCCTTCCCAAGGAGTTCAGCCACAAAATGCAGGAGAGCTACAAAACAAAAATCAACAGAGATAGATTAAATGAGGGTTTTCTGAGGACGGGGGAGACATGGGCATGTTTATTATAGGCAGCAGGGAAGCAGCCAGTGAACAGGGAGCAACCACAGACAAGTGAGAGGACAGGGATGAAAGTGGGGACAACCTTCTGGAGAGATGGAGTGGGATCACCTGCGCATGTGGAGAGGCTGGCTTTGACAAGGAGAAGGGCCATCTCTTCTTGTGAGTCAGGGGAGAAGGCATCTGAGTGATGTGAGATGAAGAGGAAGGCAGCAATGAATGGTCTCGATTTTTTTTTCTTCAGTAATATAAGAGACAAGGGTTCTTTAGCTGAGACAGGAGGGAGATGACATCATCGGATGTCTGAGGAGGGATGAAAAGGACTGGAAGAGCTGCTGTGGTGACTGGGATACCATGTTAAAAAATCAGAGAGATTCCGAGCAGCAGTGAGGGCCCAGGTGAGGTTGTGTAATATAAATATCCATACTATAATGGAATTATTGTCCAATCATTTCCCAGAATTATGTCACTTTATATTTTGCTTTTTGAGCTTTCTGACCCTTTCCAGTCTTCTTAAACTTTATTCTCTTCTGTGTACTCTACTTGCCACAACACAACACTCCAATCTCTTTCAGATCATGGAGAATTTTGGTAGATGTAATAAACCCTCTAATGAATGACAATGAGGTTGGAGGAGGTGAAGCCATGACTAATTTTAGATTTTTACACAGTCGATGAATTTTCTCAGATAAAAGGACTCTTAGAGCTCAGCTCACCCCAAGCTCTTATTTTATGAGGTCTCTTGGACCTTAAGAGAGGAAAAGATCTGCCCTATTCACAAAGTAAGTGGCCAGGGTGAAATAAAACCCCTGATCATTAGTGATCTTTCTATTACACTAAATTGTTTCTTCCCTTTCTTTTCTTTTTGGAGGCAGTTGAGGTTAAGTGACTTGCCCAGGATGACACAGTTAGTAAGTGTCTGAGATCACATTTGAACTCAAATTCTCCTAACTCCAAGGCCAGTGCTCTATCAACTGTGCCACCTAGCTGCCCCCCTAAGTTTTTTATATAGATAATCTTCTCAGTATGCACTCAGTTGGAAACACTCTTAAGTTTTCTGCAGTTGTTCAGTTGTGTAACTCCAATTGGGGCCTTCTTGGCAAAGATACTGGAGTGGTTTGCTGTTTCCTTCTCCAGCTCATTTTACAGATGAGGAAACTGAGGCAGAAAGTATTAAATGACTTGCCCAGGGTCACACAGCTCATAAGTGTCGAGACTGAATTTGAACTCAGGTCCACCTGACTCCAGGTCTGGCTCTCTATCCACTGCATCGCGCCCCCCCCCCCCCGCCCGTCCCAGCTGCTCTACTTCACAATAAGTGCAGCTCCTTTATTATTACTTTCCCATCCCACCTCACCCTGTTAACAGCTCTGTAAACATGGATCACAAATTTACCAGCTTTTTAAAAACCACCCAAAAGCTTCCTGATGTACTTGGGAGGTAAAAATAAATATTTAAATAATAACAAATATTTAAATATCTTATTTTCTAAGTACCCCAAAAGAGCTCTTTCCACTGGCAAGGTTATTTTTCCAAGGTCATTTTCCTCGACAGTGAAACACATATCCCCTTGGAGGGGCATGGGCTTTCCTAAGTCAGTGCTTGGGTCTTCCGCTCACTAGTGAGCTGCATAAAATAGAAAGCACTCTCTGCCTGTCTTTTCCTCTCTGAGTGGCTTCTTTCTTTTCCTTTTTCACTCATCAAACTCCTACATTAGCATCCAACTTGGGGGGACTTGGCTCTAACCTGATCCATTGCAGAGTCACTTCCAGACACCAGTGCCTCAGTGGAACCTCAGTGTGGCCTCCCGGGGGTCAGGATAGCAGCCTGGAAGAGAAAAATGCAAACAAGAGGAGTGGGTAGAGAGCACAGGGACATGCATTCACCCGTTAATAAGCAGGTTCACTCACTTGCACCAATCAAGGGGAGCTTATCTGAACATACCAGTGTAATTTCCTGTGTGAACTGCTTGACTGAGCTCTTTGGAACGACTGTGGGTCTCACTTAGGAAGCCCAGTAGTGTTCTGTGGCTTGTTATAGTCAACACAATGCCATCCACAAATAGTACCATTTGGAAGTCCTCACTCTCTACAGAGAATCCCTCATCCATTTGTTCTCTCTGCAGGCCATTGTCCACAACACTAGCAAACAAGCATCTCCTTATTTTAGGCCTCACTTGACATTGAAAAAAAAAACCAAAGTAAATTGTTATGGTTACATCTTTGAAATAATCTTAATATGAGAAGTAATCTTTAAGCTTCAATAGCTTAAAGCTGCACTAAGACTTATAGGACAGGCTATATATTCCTGGGAGGCACCTAATTGCTGGAGAGTCTTTAAGGCTGTATTTTATTCTTTTTTGTAATCAACAAACAATACACAGAGAAGAACCTTGTCTTGTTTATGCCTCTCAGTCAAATGTGTGGCTGTTAAGACGTTGTCTGCTGAGGGGTGGCTAGGTGGTGCGGTAGATAGAGCACCGGCCCCCAAAGTCAGGAGGACCTGAGTTCAAATCCGGTCTCAGACCAAACACTTGACACTTACTAGCTGTGTGACTCTGGGCAAGTCACTTAACTCCAACTGCCCCCACCAAAAAAAAACAAAACAAAGTCACAAAGCTATTTGAAATTTGGCCTTCCTGACTCCAGGCCCAACACTGTGCTACCTAGCTGCCTATATCACTCCATTTCTCCCTGTGCTTTACCCTTCATAAATGTATTCTTCATTCTCACTAAGACGTCCAATCCCCCCACCCCTCAGTACTTTCTCATTCCATTATCCCTGCTCCGACTTCATTTCCATCCCTTCCCAATCTCAACCCTATAGTTAAAGTGTTCAGCTACCCCCCATCCCTAAGTTCTTTCTGGTCCTGTCACTGTTCACGCTTTGCCAAACCTCAGCCCTGGATTAGCCCCACCATCCACCTTCTTTGCTACTATTCATGTGCTCCTAAATGGACGTGGAGAAAGTCAGGCAATGAGCTGATGGGGTTGCACTACAAATTATCCTATTTAACTTTAACAGAGCCCTCACGGCAACAAGGCAATTATTTTACTCCTCCTTAAGTGATTCCCTATTCCAGTCCCTACAGAGGCTATTTCCAACCTTCTCTTCAATCTTCAAACATCCCACACCATCTCAACTGAAGACCTCATTTCATCCATTACTGAGAAAATGGAGCCCACTGTCTTCTTCTTCTTCTTCTTTTTTTTTTTTTTGATGAGGCAATTGAGGTTAAATGACTTGCCCAGAGTCACACAGCTAGTGAGTGTTATGTGTCTGAAGCTGCATTTGAACTCAGATCCTCCTGACTCCAGGGCAGGTGCTTTATCCATTGTGGCACCCAGCTGCCCCTCTCCCACTCTCTTCTTTACTCCAGTATCTGATAATGAGGTAGCATTTCTCCTCTGTCCACGTCAATAATTCAAAATACTCTAACTGCTTTTAAAATCAATTATAAGCTTCTCTTCTTAGCTGTTAAAGCTCTTCACAAACTGGCCCCAACCTGCTTTTCCAACCCTCTCTGGGGCTAACCCCTCAACTCAAAATTGCATTCACAGATTAGTCCCAGCCACACTCTGTGGGGTCATCCCTCCTAAAACTTGAACGCCCATCAGAGTACTTCCCTTTAAGAGTCAGTCAATGGATGCAATTAGCTTAAAGCTACGCTGGTAGGGAAGAAAATACATAGAAAACATATGTGGCCAAAGCAACTTATGCTTCCCATACTGTAGGACCTGATAGTCTTTCCCTTCTCATGCTGCTCGCTCCCTGGGTACAGCATCTTTGAGGCAATCCCTGAGCATGATCCTCTCCTCATCTGGCCTCCTGAGGGCCAGGACCAATTCTCTTTTGAATACATGGTTAGCTCTCTTCTCTAAGTTGCATCCTTCCTCAACCACCTCTAGGGCTAGCAAGCCAAGTTGCTCTTCCATTTCACATTAGGGAAATTTCATTACACTTCATAAATAGGAAGCAGGGTACAGATAAGACCGAGCATTTTATTTAACACTTCAACACCTTATTACCTCTGTTATTTGCCCCTAACTTTCCATGACTGCATAAACTAGATGTGTGGAATAGAAACCAATTCCCTCATACTATATTATATATCATCTCTTTCCCACATTCTACTCTCTAGCCCAGATTCTCCACCCCTGGTCTAGCCAAACTGAACTTCATGCTGCTCCTCAAAGTTAGTAATTTATTACACACACACACACACACACACACGCTCACATGTATATGTGTGTGTATGTATATACTTATATATAATGTGATATGTATGTATAAATATTACGTTGTTGTTCAGTCATTTTGTTCGTGTCCAACTCCTTATGACCCCATTTGAGGTTTTCTTGGCAAGGATACTGAAGTGGTTTGCTATTTCCTTCTCCAACTCATTTTATAGATGAGGAAACTAAGGCAAACAAGGTGAAGTGATTTGCCCAGGGTCACACAGCTAGTAAGTGTCTGAGGCCAGATTTGAACTCAGGAAGATGAGCCTTCCTCACTCTAGGCCCAGCACTCTAGCCACTGTGTCACCTCGCTGCTTTATCTATCTTTCTATCTATCTGTCTGTCTATCTGCATATATGTGTGTATATATGTCAGTCATTTATTTTATATATGTATATGTGTGTATGTCTAAATATATGTGTATATGTATGTATTAAGCACCTGCTATGTTAGATACTATGCTAAGAGTTGGGGGTACAAAAAGAGGCAAAAGTTAGCCCTTGCCTTCAAGGAGTTCATAATTTAGTCACATACGACACTCCACCTCCTAACTCCATGTCTGTCTCTGCACTGTCTATCTCCCATGCCTGGAATATATTTTCACCTCACCTACACCACTAAGAATTTCCTTTACTGATTTCCCCAGCTTCTAGTGCCCTCTTCCTGCAAAACTGACCTTGTATTTATTGTGCATGCATACACACACACACACACACACACACACACACACACACACACATGCCCATGTTATCTTTTCCAATAGAATGCAAACTCCATGAAGGAAGGGACTTTGTTTTTTGTCAAAGTATCCCCAGCACCTAGCACAGTGCCTAGACCAGGGGTGGGGAACCTGTGAGCTCCAGGCCACATGTAGCTTTCTCGGTCCTTGGGTGCAACCTTTTGACTGAGTTCAGGTTTTTTTTTTCTTTAGTGAGGCAATTGGGGTTAAGTGACTTGCCCAGAGTCACACAGCTAGGAAGTATTATGTGTCTTGAGGCCGGATTTCAACTCAGATCCTCCTGACTCCAGGGCTAGTGCTCTATCCACTGTGCCACCTAGCTGCCCCTGACTGAGTCCAAGTATTACAGAACAAACCCTTTTATTATGGGTTATTATTACTATATGTATTATTATTATTATATGAAATTTGGATTCAGTCAAAGGGCTGCACTTGAGGACCTAGAGGGCCACATGTGGCCTCAAGGCCACAGGTTCTCTGCCCCTGGCCTAGACCATACAAGGTACTTGATAAATGTTTGCTGAATGACTGAGTGATTGACCCAGCAAAGGAGACAAGAAGGAACAATCAGATAAGTAAGAGAAAAATCAAGGAGAGGGTCCCACCAGAGGTTAAGCACAGAAAGAAAGTTTCCATATACAACAACATATTCAGAGTAGCATTTTTTTTTTTTTGGTGGTAGCAAAGAATTGTAGGGGCAGCTAGGTGGCACAGTGGATGGAGCACCGGCCCTTGAGTGAGGAAGATCTGAGTTCAAGTGCAGCCTCACACACACAACACTCACTAGCTGTATGACTTTGGGCAAGTCACTTAACCCCAACTGCCTCACTTAAAAAAAAAAAAAAAAGAACTGGAAACAACCTAAATGCCCATCAGTGAACGAAAGGCCTGACAAACTGTGGTACACGAAAATAAGGGAAGATTACTGCATGATATGAAATGATAAATAATGAACTTAGATGAGCTTGGAGAACCTTACACGAACCAATGCAGAATAAAGTAACAAAATCAGGAAAACAATACACAAGATGACAAGTGGAAAAGAATAACAACAAAATACCCTGAACATTGTAGAATTATAATAACCAAAAAGTTTAATCAAAAAAAAAAAAAAAGTTTGGTCCTATAGGAGAACTTAGAAAATTTGCCATTCTCTTTCCTTTGCAGAAATGGGGGAAAATGGATATGAAATACTGCATATGTCATCAGACTTAATGGATATGTTGGTTGGTTTTGCTGGACTGCTTTTATTTCTTAAAAAACAAAAAACAAGACAACAACAACAGCAACAACAACAACTTGGGGGCAGCTAGGTGGAGCAGTGGGTAGAGCACGGGCCCTGGAGTCAGGAGGACCTGAGTTCAAATGCGACCTCACATACTTCACACTTCCTAGCTGTGTGACCCTAGGCAAGTCACTTAACCAAACCTACCTCACCAAAAAAAAAAGAAAAGAAAAAAAAAAAACCTCTGTTGCAAGGGAGGGATGGGTGCCTAAGGAAAAGAGGATGTATTTGGAAGTGAAATGAAATAAAAACCAAAGATATTAATTTTTTAAAAAAATTTTAAAAAAGGAAAATACAGGGGGACACAGTTTCTAGAAGTAAAGGTTCCAGTATGGTCAAATGCTGCAGTGAGGTCGTTAAGGGCTTCATGGGAGACTAAGAAAATGCCAGTAGTTTTCACAATTAAGAGGTTACTGATAAAACTGGAAAGTGTTGAGGCCAGAAACAAGACGGAAAGCGGTTGAAAAGTGACTGAGAATCAGTTGGGGAATGGCTGAACAAGTTGTGATAGATGATTTTGATGAAATACCACTCTGTTGGAAGAAATAATGAGCTCAACGATTTT